CCGTGGTAACGCTATTGCTGTACTTCGCCTTTCCTTATCATCAAACTGTCCTATTCATGAAACTAGCCGACTGTCTATTTAAGATCACTAACTCCATGTGTGTGATTCGTTGCAATCTAAATGTTAAGCGCTTCTGGTTCTGTTTGAAGCCTTAAATTCAAATACGTCTATTCTACACAAGACAATATGAAACATCAGACCGAAGAACTTCTACATCATCAAAATCATAACATCTTGTGAACATACTAATAGTTTCTGGCTTTTATCAAATAACACCTGTTTAATTTCTTTTGTCAGAAAAAATTAATTTTTTACGGTCTGCATGTAATCGAGATTCGAGTGCATCCATTTTCCTAGATTCAAAATGCCCACGAGGAGAGTGTCTTTTCATTTTGAGTTATTGCCTCTACCGGGCTTAACATTTGGGCTGTAATTATTTCATAGTTACTTTATCTATTGAATATACACATCTCCTAAAGAAATCGCATTATTTAAGCTTATTCCGAAAGTCAATTTTGTGCTGTAGATAGAGAACATGTATGTCAAAATATATACGTCTTTTGACAATTTGCGTTGTCGATATCTTCATGAAAGACACATCATTATTATTCATCATCATGGCGTGTGAGTATTGCATATTCCTAGTATTCAGTGGTATTTACATCTTCCAGCAGTTTTGCACGACCAAAGAAAACTACTATTCAGCGCAATATTCATATCTACGCACTACTCGCTGCAATTTTTCAAACCCTTAAAATTCACAGATTTCGTTGTATATACTTTCTGTAATGTCCAACCCCATTGCCGCCTTTCATACATTTACTAGTAAAGAATCATAATAGCGGAAGTACAGAGATTTTGTTTCGTTAGATTTCGTGTTTAGGGATATTACTTTCATATGATACTACTGAATATTTTTATGATATAATTATTCTTTATGCCAAAATATCATGAAGTTGATAGGGAATAAATTAAATTTGTATAATTCATGCTAGTGATATTTTTACTACTTTCTTATTTATTGCGTTTTTATCATGAGCATATTGGTATTCATTATCGATAATTATCATCGTCGTTGATATTATTATTATGAGCATCATCATCAGGAATTTTCTGTCGCGTTCTACCTGGAAATGTCTCACAACCTCGAGCGCTGTTGACCCCTTCGCTTAATGCCACCCGAATAAAGAAATCTTCCACTCTGCCATCATCGTAACTTCATTTGACCTTTTTTTTTCGACATTCGAGATCTCCGGAAGATCTCCATCTTTATGCTTTCGGCTACCTCTACCGCCAGCTGCACATCACCTCCCGCACAGGCACCCGGCAGACTGGACCGACCAACCGACCGACCGACCAACGGACGGACGGACAGACGTTAAGTTTCGGTGTAGATACTATTAAGCGCGCTGCGCCATTAAGTGCGAGAAGTAGTCGGTTGCGGCCGAGGCGGTCTCGCCACCGCCGCCGCCGCCGCCGTCGTATCTCGTCCACCTATAAAACACGGCGTTTCAATCCTGTCAATGGCGCAGTCGAATAAATGACAGCGGAGTGCTGAGCCGCAATAAACAGGGTCGAGCCAGGAATTTACAGCCGAGCTTTATGGATGGGAACCCCGCCTCCGCAGCCGCTGCAGCCGCCGCCTCCTCGGCCGACGCCGCATCTTCATTAGAGGCGACGGCGCGGCGAGGCGGCGATCCGCAGGCTGGGTGGCGGGTGTGCGGTGGGCACCGGTACCGGGCAGAGAGAAACAGGCGGTGGGTACCGGGGGTGATGACTAGGCGGTTGGTACCGGGCGGTGAATATCGGCCGGTGGGTATCGGGCGGTGTGTACCGTGGGTGAGTACCGGGCGGTGGGTTACAGGCAGTGGGTACCGGTCTGGGGGTATCGGACAGTGGGAACTGGCGGTGGGTCCTGGGCAGTGGGTACCGCGTAGTTGGTAACGTGCGATGGGTACCGGGCGGTGGGTACCGGGGTGATTACCGGGTGATGGGTACCGGCCGGTGGGTACCGGGGGTGATTTCTGGGCGGTGGGTACGGGCAGTGGATAGTGGGCAATGGATACCAGGTGGTGGGTACCAGGGGTGAGTACTGAGCGGTGGGTACCGGGTGGTGGCTAAATGGCGGTGGGTACCGGGTGAGGGGTATCGAGTGGTGGGAAGTGGCGGTGGGTATTGAGCAGTGGGTATCGGGAGGTGGATTCTGAGCGGTGAGCGGTCTTCAGTAGGGTTTGAATCAACTTATGCGCATATCATTGTCGCCTGCACCATGTCAGTATATTTGTGACATTTTTACGTAGGATGGGATATAACTAAAACGATCTTTTACCAAAATTTTTATATACAAATATAAAATAGTTTTGAAAAATCTCTTCTAAGAACTCATTTATTGCCGTGAGTAATTTTTTGATCTACATGAATGAGAAATAACGATATGCGAGACAATTGTTAAGAGCATTGAGGGCGTTATTCTTAAGAATAATAATTTCCCCCCAGAAGAGTAATAATCACCATCAAATCAAATTAAAGGAGGCAGCAGAGTGACGCAATGGAAGCGTACGAAGCCCATACCTCAGAGATCCGTGGATGAAAAGCACGCTCTGTTAATTTGCAGCCTCTGTGATGTCTCTTGGTCAGCATTCTAGCATTCTCTGGGGCTGTCCCGAGTTCGATTCCCGGCAATAACGAAAATGAAGCTGCAGCTTTCTATTACAAATGGAGTCATTTTCTACATCTTAGTAATGAAAGAAAGCTCAGCAGGCATAAAAAGCTAGACCTAGTAAGAATAAGTTAAGCTCGCTACATGGCTTCCTTACCTCCAGGCGTGGATAATAAGTATATTTATTATTTTATAAAAACAGGGACCAGGCCTGAGAACACAGCTAGCCAGTAAAAATCGAATTAATCGGACCCAAAAATGTCAAATTCATTACTGTAGGACTTCCCGTTTCTGATAATTTGTTTGTTAACATCCTTATTTCGGGATGTAAATCTAATAAACGAATAATATCAGCGCTCTACAATCAGGAGGAGGTAGTGTAGTTTCAAGTATTTTTGGAAGTGTCGAGGTAAGAGAGTGCAAAGAGTGTAAGAAAGTGCGCTGCTAAACGTATATGATTTGAAGTTTATATGATTTGAAATTTATTGACAATAGTGTTATCATATAGGTTTAGCAGCGTTTTGAAACACACTTTCCTTTGCACTTCCAAAAATACTTGAAACTACACTAGCTCCAAGAAATATTTTACCCGGTAAAACATCTTTTAAAAGCCCAAATTTCAAATCATAGACGAAAGCCAAACGGATTTAAAGAGCTAGAGATAAAAATGAATAATGACACCTCTGTTCTGGATGGAAGACAGATTCATTTTTATTGTTCTCATCGAACTACATGTGACATTGCTGAACACAGAACTAACAGTACCAAGAAATACGTTCCAATGAAACTCAATACGCAGGAAGTATACGACATATTTTAAAGAAACTAGTGGAGATAAAACAGCACTTACTCGCCATTGGTAATGGGTGTGTAATACTATTTATACCACAATTTCTCTCCGAATTAACACATCCCAGACATAATTTTTTATAACACTCATTTAAAATCGTAGAAGATTTTGTGCAAAAAACAAGCATTATGCGAGGAAGAAAAATAATTAAAAGTTAATAAACAATACGATACTGATAGCGTTAGCTCTGCTAACCAATGCAAATAGATCAAAAAATATATAATAGTAATTATTAAACACTATGGTATTGTAGCGAACGAGAGGGAGCCGTCATTATCGCCCTCTGTTATCAATGCGGCGTTGCAACAATAAGTAACCACAAGCAACAATGACCGCTCATTTATTCATTTTCACACTTAACACAATTTAAAATGAAATAACATAAATAGAATAAAAATACGGTAAATAATAATATTAAAATGAAATATAAATGGAAAATCTCGGACCACAAAAATCACTCGCACCAAAGGCCTTCGGACTTTTGTTGTCGCTCGTCACTCCCTTGGCAAATAATTTTTTTTTTCTAGAAGTAAAATCGTTTCAGCTACTTATCTCATTTCTGATTAACTGATGAGTAGCTGAGAGTGATAGTGGTGATTAGGGGAGCGATGGAAGGGAAATTGGGAGAATCCGGTGAAAACCTGCCGAGAAAATGCTTTGTCTGCAGAACATTCCTCATGAAATGCCCAAGGATCAAACCCAAGCCCTAGCCGGGGAAGGCGAATGCGCTAGCAACTGTGCTCATACTCATTACCGAAAACAAACAGTTGAATAGTAACAATTGAAAGACTGCCCGGATTAAGGATGTAACTTGAAAATTCACTCTTTTACGTCATTTTTCTGCTGGGAACTTTTGAACCCATTATTTGATGTTTCTTTTCCCCAATAAAAATATAATATTTTTAGAACTGCGCAGACCCACCGACATGTTAACTATTTGAAAATGCGTTTACCAACCTAATAGGAAGTAATCACAGTGTCGACACGTCAGTTCGCGTTAGGCTGAGTCTGCTGTTACGGAGAAGTTTCGATTGAAGGCGGCTCTGGTTGCTGTGATTTTACGTGCACTAAATTTAATTTACAATAGTTTTGACATCAAACAAGAAAATTAAGGGGGTATGTGTTAGAAAAATTGTCTCATTTTTGGGGGGACACCCTAGTGGATGTATACGTATTTCGCGTTTCACCAAAGATTCTTGGATTTCACAAAATTATAGTGTTGAACACTTCATCAAATCTGATGGACTAAAATGATCAGGATATTCAGTACATGTGCGTGTACTATTAGACACTAGACGACATCCGTGTGATAATAACAATTATGAACGAATGCTACTAGAAATTATGTTTGATGCGCTCATTTGTGTAGTCTATGAGTTATATTCTCAAACTTTTGAAAATTATCTGTATCTCTCTACAATCAAATAAATCATGTGGTAGGAAGAAAAACAGCTTAAAATAAACATTTACACGAGGAAAGGCGTAAGACACCTTCCACAAGAGTGTCATAAGATAGTAAAAATAAGAGAAAAGAGAGAAACATATTTGTGAAATGCAATTGGTGTTTCCTCTGCCAATAGAGAAAAATAAAATATTTCATATTGAAATATATAGTATTATGTACATGGAATAATGAATTTTAAATCAGTGAGATTCATAATTCCCAAAATGTAACATTAAAGCGTTGAGTCCGCGAAGACCAAGTCCTCCACGAGAAGAAATTACAAGAGCGTCAGATTATACAGTAGTATTATACATTATTATACAGTAGTATTATAGTGTACAGACTACATATATTTCTAAACTATTTTCTTTCCAGACAAAAATATGCCTGGGTTCGACATAAAAGATGATTTAATGTATATGTAATAGATAAGGAAATATTTGAGTGAAATAGTAGATGCTAGTAGTTTGCAGCAACAAAAATGCTGCTGAACAAAACCACACAAAACAGTTTTCCAGAAAGTATCACGCACACTGTTCAAGAATAAATAATTCATTTTTTTCGCGTAAGACTCCAACAAATTAAATATTTTAACAAAAACAGTGTTTGCGAACACTGCAGTAAAACAGTACAGCACTTCTTCACATACCAAGAATGTCAATAAAAATTTAATAATGCAACACATGAATAGCAAATATTTAATGACGGGTGGCCTCTTACTTGGAGTCTTCCTGTCGCGTGATGTCAGTTGTGTCGAAAGTAGTTCCAGACAGAGTATGAAAATTCAGTCTGCATCCTCAGTCCTAAAACAGACGAAATAACACAGTCAAATATTTATATTTTCAACCAAAATCGAAGTTTTTCATTTTTTTATAATTTTCAAGTTCGTGGGTATTTAACAAACCATAGACATTGCTCACATGGTCGGGATCCAAACAGTTCTTATTCATTTGTAGTGCACATTGAGAATTAGTAATATAGATATATTTTAAAAAAACTTCCCAAATATGTGCTAATTCGTCAAATTCTTATTTAGATGTATATACATGTCAAAACGCATCAAAGAGAACAATACTACACAAGTTTTATTGTACAGCTTTCTGTTTTGAACAATTACAAACAAAGAAGAGATGAAGCGGAATAGGGGGAGTCGATAGATTAATTGATTTATTGCTTATTTTGTTTCAGAGTTCTTCAACTCTTGTGGTAATTAGTTCCGTGGTGCATAATCTTCCCCGGAGGTGATGGTGATCCTGTCTATTGAAACATGAGATCAGGCGCCAACCTCAACGGCAGCTTGAGGGTATTCTCACCTCCAGATATCTCTGCCAGTAGGCCATAGTCGGTACAGGGTTGGGTCTCTAACATGAGTGTTGCTGTAGTGCATGTAAGTGTAAGTGTATGAAAGGAAGGGGTAAGGATAGGTCAAGGAAGAAGAATGAAAGATCGCGCGCGGTCTGTGACCCGTTTGTTAGAGTACTGGCCAGGCGTTCGTCTGGTGTTGATCGGAGAAACCACACAAATCTACCAATCGGAGCAGCTCGCCGCGCGAATTCTCCTCCACACAGCGACTGGGGAAGGCGAAGCGAAGAGGCTGAACGTATGTGGGGAGGATGTAACTGACAGTGAGGTAAGGCGTAGAGAAAAACAACGAAAACCGACATCTGGTTGCGAAAATGTTTTAAACGCTCCAGGAAATCTTATTTATTTTAGTAATTCATTGCGAACAAATACTCAGGTAATTGGATGAGGACAAGATGATAGATAAGTGTTTTCTGTAGGACAGGAATTCTCTTGATTTATTTGTTAATTTGGGATTATCGCACAGCTATTTACATAACTGGGTAATTTGAATGAAAACGTGAAAATAACAGAGTATTTAATTTCCTATCTCGTATGTTCTAGATACATATATTACGCAGCCCAAACCACCAAATTCTATGTATATTGGTGTGTAGGCTATAAACGTGGTGATCTTTTAGCATAAAAACTTCCTTCTAATCTCGAAGAATTCTAAACTATTAACGGCGCTCATTACGAACTTGAAATGTTCTCAGGTAAATCCATTCAGTCGAGGGAGCAGAATTATTTCACGTGGGATGATATCTTCCAATCCGAAACCGGTACCCGGACGAGTCGAATGTGGAAACCGGTGTGAACTGCCGATCTGCTGCGTTACTGCCATATCGCCACCGTCCAGCTGCAATATCAAACTGCCACCGTCGCTGCCCGAAACAACTACACCAGGGTCCAAGTACCTGCAGCCTCTACCATAAAAACCCTGCCACCCTCTCCGAGATCACAGGTGCGGGTCTCCGAGTTTTAGCTCAAAGAACTGCGGTTAGTGAGAAGCGGCCAGACGGTTTATGTCTGTTTGGGGATGTGTGGAAGGGGACCAATCGGAGCCGAGAAGAATACAGTGAGGCAGAGAAGACCAGGATGAAGGAAGGATGGGGAAGTGTGGAGCAAGGTGGTGGCGGCGGCGGTCATAGTGGAACCGATTTTGCCCGTAATTTCGGTCAGCCGTTTTTGTCCGACGTACCGGTATCGCTCAAGCACTTGATGGTGAACAAGAATGGTGAAAATGACCCTAAAAGACATCTGCCGACTGCGTCTGAAAACGTCGGCTGTCGGACGAAGATCTGTTTCGTTTGGGTTTGTCCGTCGATTGACCAAACTTTCGGCTTTTAGTGGGTCCAATACGAGAATCGCCCGATTGAATTACGCGGTTAGGTGACCATCCCTCCCGCTCCCATTTAATCCCCTCTCAGTAAAGGTAAATCCCGATTGCATCCCGACCTATATTTTGGGGTCGGGAAGGAGGAGACAATTGAGTTAATTTCCAATTGAGTAACGCAAATAGAGGTTCTCGCTTCTGTTGAGAAGAAACATCGATTGTACACTAGTGATCATAGCAGAATCATCGGAACTGTATGCTATTTCACTATAACATAATTATTTTAATTCTGCATATTTTAAGTTCATTGATCCCCTTTCTCCATCTCCTTGAAGCAAACAACGCATTATGTGCAGACATTAGTTTAAAGAAATTAAGTATATTCAAAAGGGTTAAATTCCAGAAGAACAAGTTTTCATTCTCGATCGGACCATTACAATACATAAGAATACAGAGTAATACCTTCAAGTATAATAGGGTGTATTAGCGTCAGGCGTAAGGAGATATCCTTAAACTCTATTGAACACGTGACTAACGCCTTTATACGGTCATAATGAACAACTTTCAGAAGAGTTTTAGCAATTGCAACATTTCGTTATGCATTATAACAAAGGAAGCATTTCACGCGCTGAACAGAAAAATTGCATAATATATTAAATAGTTTAGGTTAGTGGTGAGACATTTAAAACACGTTACGAGTCAACAGAATAACAAATATAGATTGTGCATGGAGTTTTACATTTTGTGGTCCTCCGTGATGAGTATGCAGTGTGGAATTTTGAATCTGCATTTCTTGAAAATATAGGAAATACCTTTAAAAACAGCGTTAGTTATGAGCGTAAAACATAACCTATGGCGAAGAAATGATTTGAACTGCTTTTTCGAAAATTTCTTTCCTGTCACCTCTCCAACATATCCCGTTAATTCTTGCCAGCGTTGTGAAGTTGGTAAGGAATAATTTTAACTGCCTCACAAACGAGAATAGGTTTTCCAGAGTTGAAAAAATTCAAATTTTCCTGTTTTTAGGCGGCCATTTTGCCACTTGTAAGGTGACCATAGAAGCTCTTACAGACGTGCACTATTTATGAAGGTATAAGGTCGTACCTTAGGCCTAAGGTAAGACGTGAAGACTTCAAGGTCCATCACGTGACTGTTAGCGCATAACGCCCCGACCTTACACGTGGCGCTAAAACTCCCTAATAGCGAAAGAACTATCTTGAGTCAGGAGAGAGCTCTCCGTTGTTCTCACGAGAAAAACCGAAGAAGGTGCAATCGGCTTATGACATATTGGGAAGAAAGGTATGTGATCAAAAGTATGGACACGACCAAAATTGTGTTATGGTGTGGTCGTGTTTTGGGTCGAGTCGTGGGCTGGTATCCTGTCGTGGTCTTCCTGAGGGCTGGTATGGCATACCAGCTCTGAGGAAGACCACGACAGGATGGTTGGCAACACAGTCTTTGACGCGGCGTCACCCGAACAGCCCAGATCACGCACGTATTCAGTATGTTTCAGTTTTTTTTAAGTAGTAGCGAAAGGGGCCAGTTATGTTGGAAACATCGCGAGTGATGTCGCGAGGAAGGACTGATTGTCGCGGGGCGGGAGAGACGGGATGAAGCATCCGTTGCTGCACTAAAAGGGGCATATTTGAGAAGAAATGAAAAACGGAAAGCGGAGAAAATGACCTGTGAGTTGGAGGAATGAGCAGGAGCGTGTCGGTAGGGGACGAGAGTGTAGTGCAATGAAAGGGCGGCACACGGGAGAGCAAGGATGGGAAGGGATGGATGAAAGTAGAAATTTGCGTGCAACACCATGAGAGGGATAGGGAGGCTGGGTAGGGGCGGATCGGCAGGAGACGAGTGTGTAGTGCAGGGAAAAGGCGGCACATGGATGTGCAAGGGTGGGAAGGGATGGATGCAGAGGGCGAAGAGAGGGCGGGCGGTGCCCGTCGTAGCGATTTGCGGGCCAACACCATGAGAGGGATAGGGGGGATGGGCAATGGCGGGTCGGCAGGGGACGAAAGATGTAGTGCAGGCAAGGTGCAAGGTGGGAAAGGTGGAGTGAAGAAAGGGACGGGCGGGCGGTAGCAATTTTGCAGTGAAAACGCCATTGAGAGGGATAGGAATGGGCAGGGCGAGAGTTCAGTCAGGGGAGGAAAGGGCAGGGAGGAAAGGGTACATGGGTGGGCAAGGACGGAAGGGGTGGATTTGAGAGAGGGCGGGCGGGCGTAGCAATTTGCGATGGCAACACCATGAGAGGGGTTGGGAGGATTGAGCATTTGGAGCGGGTGGCACATGCGAAGGAGGGTAGGACGAGCAGGGGGTGGGGAGTACGAACAGTGGAGGGGAGGCCGAGTGGCCCCGCGGCCAGACCGTAAAAGCCACGCACGGCGGTGGCGAGCGCCCGCCGCGCGCTTCCAAATTATCTTTACGCGTGGGACAGCCCGGACATGAGTCATACGGGCGAGATTATTTTATAGATTGGCATTTAGCGCATTGTGGGCGCGCGGCCGAGGCAATCGCGGGGGCGCGTCCGCAGACGTTTACCTTGCTTCTTACTACTGCGCGCCGAGCGCCGCGCCCGCAGCGACTCTCTATTAAACGGAATTCCCGACTCCTTTCGCGGGCTCTGGCCCGGCCTTGCGAACCGCCAGCTACCTCTAAGTCAATGCACCAAATAATTTCAACTCCACCCCATGCTTTTTTCTTCCGTTCTCTGGACAACGTGTCAACTTTGTTATGCGTTCCAACTGTCAGTTACATTCCTGCCCACCATTTACAGGTGTATTCTTAAGGTGGAGCGTACTTTGCGGCCTTTCGGCCTTGCTCCCTCTCAGCGTGTCTTATACGGGCGCTGTTCCTGGGAGAGTAAGATAGTGAGGAGTTCCCGGCGCCTGGCTGATAGTATTACGGCGTTCTGGTTACCGATTGGTTTTGAGCTCTTAGTTGATGCTTCTCTCTCTGGATACCGTGCATCTCAACGCCGACCGACCGTACATGTTGGCTTGGAG